AGTTCAAATCACTTACATGTTGGTAAGGTGAGTGTGTGTGATGATGAGTGAGTGCAAAATGCTTGAAATGCTTGAAGATTTGCTTTGAAACTGGATTGGAACCCTTGGGGAGCTTCTTGGGTTTTTGAGAGCTTTTTGGGGGGAATGGGAGATGATGAGTCTCACCCCATCCCCTTTTTTTAAAACTGAAATCGTGCTCTCTCGCCTGGGCGAGAATTTCTCGCTTGGGCGAGAATTCTCGCTTAAGCGAAAATATCTCGCATGGGCGAGGTTCTTCCAGTATGCCCAGGTACTTCTCGCCTGGGCGAAAAACCCAGAAATTTTTTTACTTGATACTCTCGCTTGGGCGAGGGATTCTCGCCTGGGCAAGAATCAGCCAGTATGGTGGTCTTGCATGAGGCTCTACCTCGCCTGGGCGAGGTATACTCGCTTGGGCGAGGTCGTCTCGCCTGGGCGAGATCTGTCAGACTTTTTTTTTTTTTTTTTTTGAAACATACAAGAAAATAAAATAAAAATATGTACATGAACAGTAAAAGCTGGATTGCCTTCCAGTTACGCTTGTTTAACGTCATTAGCTCGACGCCTGATTTTCATTTTTTCCGAGGATCTGTGAGATTGATGCTTGTGGTAAGCCTTTCGACTTCACCACCCAGATAGGGCTTTAACCTTTGCCCATTTACTGTCCAACTCCTTTGTGAGGCGGGATCCTCAAGCTCAATTGCTCCATGCGATCTGATTTGTTTTACCAAGAATGGTCCCGACCACTTTGATTTTAGCTTGCCCAGAAATAGTTTCATCCGGGAGTTGAATAGTAATACCAGTTGACCCGGTTGGAAGTCTTTCTGCCGAATCTTTTTATCATGATAAATCTTGACTTTTTCCTTGTACAGCTTTGAAGATTCATAAGCATTCAGCCTCATTTCCTCCAAGTGGTGCATTTGTAATTGTCTTTTTGCACCAGCAGCTTTTGGGTCCATGTTCAAAAATTTCAATGCCCAAAATGCTTTATGCTCCAACTCCACTGGAAGATGACATGCCTTTCCGTAAACCAGCTGATAAGGGGATAATCCAGTAGGAGCTTTGTATGCTGTCCTATATGCCCAAAGTGCATCATCCAGCTTCAGAGACCAGTCTTTCCTTGATGTGGAGACTGTCTTCTCCAAAATTCTCTTGATCTCTCTATTTGATACTTCTGCTTGCCCATTGGTCTGAGGATGATATGGAGATGCTACTTTGTGTCGAACTCCATAGTGCTGAAGGACTTTCTGAAGTTTTGCATTGCAGAAGTGTGATCCTCCATCACTAATGAGAACCTGTGGTGTCCCAAATCTGGTAAATATGTTTCTCTTCAAAAACTTTACCACAGTGTTGCCATCATCCTTGGACACAGCTATTGCCTCCACCCACTTGGATACATAGTCCACTGCTACCAGTCATCCCAAATGTATTGGCGGGAATCTCTTAAGAACTTTTTCTTCTGGTGCCACGTGAAATCAGAATTGAGCACCCCTGCTGCTTTGAAGTTGGCCATATCAGCAAACCATGGCCTCTCTTGTAATACCAACAACTTCTCATCTGGGAACTCTTCCACTACCTCTTGTTCCCTGTTAGTTAATCCTTTGTTCACCAACCTTGACAGATGATCTGCTACACAGTTTTCACTTATTTTCTTGTCCTTAATCACCAAGTCAAATTCCTGCAATAACAATATCCATCGCAACAATCTCGGTTTGGAATCCGATTTGGTTAGCAGATATTTAATGGCAGCATGATCAGTAAAAATAATGACTCTTGACCGATTAAGTAAGATCTAAATTTTTCCAATGCATACACTATAGCTAGTAATTCTTTTTCTGTTATGTCATAATTGATTTGTGCCTCATTCAATACCTTACTAGCATAGCATGGAAAACTTTATCCTTTCTTTGTCCTAGTACCGCTCCGACGGCATAATCACTTGCATCACACATAAGTTCAAAATCAAGATGCCAGTCGGGTGCTACTATAACAGGAGCAGAAATTAATTTTTGCTTTAAAGTTTCAAAGGAAGTTGCACACTCAGTAGTAAATTTAAATACAGTATCTTTGTTGAGAAGATTACTGAGTGGCTTTGCAATTTTGGAAAAGTCTTTTATAAATCTCCTATAGAAACCTGCATGCCCGAGGAAGCTTCAAATTCCCTTGACATTGAGCGGTGGTGGGAGTTCCTTGATTACCTCAATCTTAGCCTTGTCAACTTCAATACCTCGGGAGGAGACCTTGTGACCCAAAACTACTCCTTCAGTCACCATGAAGTGTCACTTTTCCCAATTTAAAACCAGATTTGTTGTGACACATCGCTGCAACACTATATCTAAATTCTCCAAACAGCTGCTGAATGACGACCCAAAAACCGAGAAGTCATCCATGAAAACCTCAATACATCTTTCTACAAGATCAGAAAAAATAGCTAACATGCACCGTTGGAATGTTGCTAGTGCATTGCATAGTCCAAATGGCATCTTTCTGTATGCAAAGACACCAAAAGGACATGTGAAAGCTGTTTTCTCCTGATCTTGGGGATCTACAGTAATTTGATTGTAACCAGAATATCCATCTAGAAAGTAGTAGAATGCTTGTCCAGCCAATCTCTCAATCATTTGATCCATGAATGGCAGAGGAAAATGATCTTTCCTAGTGGCCTGGTTCAACTTCCGGTAATCAATACACATGCGCCAACCAGTGACTGTTCGTGTTGGAATTAATTCATCGTTTTCATTCTTGACTACAGTCATACCGCCCTTCTTTGGAACCACTTGAACCGGACTCACCCAAATACTATCAGATATGGGATAAATCATCCCAGCATCCAAAAGTTTTATCACCTCATTCTTAACTACTTCTTTCATAGTAGGATTTAAACGTCTCTGAGGTTGTGCAACTGGTTTGTAATCCACTTCCATATGAATTTTATGCATACAATAAGATGGACTGATCCCATGTAAATCAGTCAGGGTCCACCCTATTCGCCTGCATTTTTCTTCAGCACCTCAATTAATTGACTTTCTTCATTGGCTGATAGGATACTGCTAATTATAACTGGTTTCTGACCTGCATCCTCTAGAAATACATACTTCAAATGTAAAGGGAGTGGTTTTAATTCAAATTTCGGAACTTCATCTTTCTTCTCTTTAACCAGTTCCTCAGTATTAGTTTGCTCTAAGTCACCTTCCTGAGGTGTGTCCAATTCTGTTATACAATTTTTGATCAGCTTGTCTTCTTCACTACTGTTCCCTTCTGTCTCCACAAGTAGTACCTTCTCCAATGGTTTTCTGCTACTCAACTGAATATTATCGAGCATTAATAAATCATCAATAACATCCACTCGAAAACAATGTTGTTTGTCTTTTGGGTGATGCATTGCTTCAAATACATTGAAGTTCACAACATCATCTTGCACTCTGACCTTTAACTTGCCCTCATCAACATCAATAATCACTCTGGCAGTTTTCATGAAAGGTCTACCCAAAATCAGTGGGACTTCAGTATCCTCTTCTATATCCATAATCACAAAGTCAACTGGAAATACCAACTTATCCACCTTGACTAAAACATCCTCTGCAACTCCGTACGGATATTTCATAGATCTATCTGCCAGCTGCAGAGTCATCCTCGTCGGTTTTACTTCCAAATCTCCAATTCTTCGTAACATAGATAGAGGCATTAAATTGATGCTGGCACCCAAATCAAGCAGTGCCTTACCCACGGATAATTCTCCAATGGTGACTGGTATTGTGAAACTTCCCGGATCCTTAGATTTTTCCGGCATAGATTTCTGAATAATAGCACTACACCCAGCTTCCAGTGTCACCGTTTCCTCAGAAAATTTTCTCTTTTTTGTCAACAAATCCTTCATGAACTTTGCATAAGTAGGCATCTGTTCCATAGCTTCCATGAAAGGTATGTTGATCTGAAGGCTTTTGAATATGTCCATGAACCTTGTATATTGTCTCTCTTTATCCTTCTTTGAAATATTTTTCGGATAAGGTAGACTCTTCAGTTGTGGCAGATCTGTCTTCTGCTCATTATTCACAATCTCTGCATCCTTGTTCTCTCCAGAAACCATAGCATCATTCTCAATCTTTTTACCATTCAGCACTTCTTCTTCCACTACCAAATTCTTGCTAAGATCTGGACTAATCACCTTTCCACTCATTGTAGTAATAGCTTTGCAATGCTCCTTAGGATTGGTTTGAGTGTTTGCCGAAAACTGTCTGCTATTGGAATGTTGCTCTGCCATATGTTTTGCCAACTGACCCACCTGAGTTTCCAGATTCCTGATAGATGCTTCAGTATTTTTCTGGTTAGTCATTGAAGCTTGCATGAACTTCTCCAATGTATCCTCCAATTTAGTTTGCCTTTCATGCATTGGTGGATGTTGACTTTGTTGGAATGGTTGCTGATAAGGTGGTTGTCTGTTTGAAGGTCATGATTCTGCCCTCCAATTATATTTCTGATTCTGATTCTGATTACCCCTCCAACCTTGTGCAAATTGACCATTATAGGTAGGATTGTTGGGAAAATTGCCTTGTCGGGGTGGATTGTTGATATACTGCACTTCTTCTTCCTGAGTGTGACTCTGAATAGCACAGTGACCAGTTGCATGTTCACCCCCAAAAAATTCACATATCAACACCTGTTGTTGTATCGGAGTAGATTGCACAGCATGCAATTGTTGCGGTAACTTTGACATCTGTTTCGTCAGTGCTTCAATTTGTTGTGTCAGAATCTTGTTTTGTGCCAGAATTCCATCAGAAGTATTCAAATCCATCATCCCTCTTTTCTGTACTGACCGCCGATTATGCTGTGCTTGCCTATCTGTTGACGATAAAGCAGTTATTATCCTTGTAGCCTGTTCAGCATCGACAGCCATCATTGTACCACCGGCTGCAGCATCTAAGATCATCTTAGTTTCAGGTTTCAGCCCATTACAGAATATGTTGAGTTGATCTACATCCTCAAAACCATGATTAGGACATTTCCTCAGCAACACTTGAAAACGTTCCCAAGCTTCATAGAAAGCTTCATCCGCACCTTGTCGGAAAGTTGATATCTCAAACTTTGCATGCACATACCGAGCTGGTGGAAAGAACCTTGTAAGAAACTTTGATTCCAAGTCATTCCAATTGGTTAAGCTTTGAGTTGGATGAGATTTTAACCATTCCCTAGCTTCACCAACTAGAGAAAACGGAAACATCATCATATATGCGGCTTCTCTTTCATTATCAGTGTACCCCATGGTTGCTACCAACTCATAAAAGTTGTCCAGATGAGCATAAGGATCTTCATAATCCTTCCCCGAGAATTGATGTGCACTGATAAGATTTAGAAAAGCTGGCTTAATCTCCACTGTTCTGGTAGTGTGTGGAATAACAATGCTAGAATAATGTCGCGGACCCTGATACATAGCATAATCACCCAATGTCCTTCTTGGAGGATTAGTCCGCTCATTATTTGTGTTGATGCTGTTATCATCCATCGTGATGGATGGAATATCTGAATTCGGTGCTTGTTGAGAACTTGACGGTTGAGATTCAAGCTGTACACCCTGCTTCTTCTTTGCTTTTGCTTTCTTCCTGTTACATTTAGCTGATTTTTCAATCTCCGGATTGAACTGTAGTTGATCTTCAGAAGCCTTTCCTCTCAAAAGCATAAATGAGAAGACTATAGCAGGTGTTAGCACAGAAATTAATACAAATAAAAATTAAAATTGAAAAAAAAATATTTACACTACTCAATAATATATCTTCAAAAATTCAAATTAAATCACATATTGCTCCCCGGCAGCGGCGCCAAAAACTTGTTAGGATTTTTCTACGGCAAGTATACCGTATCGCTCAAGTAATAAAACCGGTAAATACCGGGATATCGTTCTCAAGGAGCAATTTAGATTTATATTAATTTCCAAAGATAGCAATTGAGTAAAGGATTACAAATGATGATTAGGATAAGAGTCATCAATATTTTTGTATTTTCTAAAATTGGTTTTTATAAATTAGTAAATGAAATGGCTGGGATTGACTTTCATCTTCCTCCTCTTTGTAAACTATTGGATTCAATTCTAGAAAAGTCATTGATCTTGATGCACATCGATTATCATTTGTATCAATTCCTTGATTACAAATTCCTTAGGTAATGCTTCAAACTCCAATTCCTTGGTAATTTGACGAATTAACTAGTATTAAACCGATGTATAAACAATTCATGTGTCATTGTCTATCCCTATATCAATAACACATCAAGAAAACTTGTCCGGATTCAACCACATATTTCACTTTCCAGTTGAACATGGGGTAATAAATCAAGATTTCAACAATTACATAAAATCAAGCATTAAACATCAGATAAGATTTCCAAAATCAAATAACTAAACTTTACTGAATTGAATCTCAGAATACAAAGGTTTAGAAAATTACATTCAATCCCACACCGAGAATTTTAGCCGCTCATTCTATACATTACAACACGAAATGCATAAAATGATGTGAATCTAAAGCCTAGAATCGTTCCCACGACTCTTCTGGTTCACTTTCGTCCTTTTTCTCTCTTCCCAAGCTTTGGTTTCAGTGTAAATGGCAAAAAGTTCTCCCCACAACTGTTGGAAACCGCCTAAATAAACTTCAGACTTTTGGTCTCTCGCTTGGGCGAGAACTACTCGCTTGGGAGAGATATTCTCGCCTGAGCGAGAATTGTCCAGTAGCTAATGCTTGTGGTCTCTGGTCTCTCGCTTGGGCGAGATATTCTCGCCTGGGCGAGAATTCTTCAATATGTGTGCTTTTGAGCTACTGTTCTCGATTTCTTTCCTTTTTCATCTCTTTCAATCCAATACCCTGCAATTGATAACATTTGTATGAGTTTTTCAAATCAAGGCAATTATTCTAAATTCATAAGAGTTTATGTAATGTTTTCATCAAAATTCACAATTAAGTGCCCCAATTCATGTTAATTTTTATTGTTATATGGCACTTAACACCCATAAGCTATAGGTACCCGCGAATCGGGTATTTTTGCCATCCATAGTGAAGAGTTGTTCATGATGGCTTTGATCATGGTTGATTATGTTTGTGTAAAGTGTTCAAGATTTTATCACGTGTTGTTAAGTATGGATAATTCCATAGAGAGATTTGAGACATGTTCTCGTCCTTTATGAATTCCCATCACTTTATAATGTCATTTGAATACTTTCAGTTTCCATTATATCTTTGCAATTAATGATTATGTTTATACATATTGTGAGATTAAGCCAGGAAGTGGAATTTGCATTGACTATGTTCATTGACTATAACATAAGACTATACAAAACCATTTTTAGCAAATAACACAAGATACAACTCAAGATGTTGTGCTAAAGCATAAAGCTTCCTTAATCATGCTTCACTCGATAACAAACAAACAAAAAATAGAAAAAATGATGAAGAAATTAGAAGAACACAAATCTGATAATTAACTTTAGAAGATAAAACAAACTATAGATAAAGATTAAGTCACAACACCTTTTTTATTTTGAATGTAATCCTAGCCATTGTGTGGATCTAATGGCTCTCAATTCTAGAGCATGTGAATAGTCCCCCTATATATATAAATATAAATGTAATTAAGTTAAATAAAATATGATATATTGTGGAGACAAATTTAAATAATATAAGATTTAATGCGTCTTCGTTATTTTTTTGGTTATTTACAAAATGATATAAAAGTGACTTAAACGATATCTCCTTAAAATTATTAATGTATTTTGTAACAAATAAAAAATAATAAAGAAACATTAATTCTTATATTATTTGGAATTGTCTTTCCAATGTAGCATATATTGTTTAACTTATTATATTTGTCATCATTTTTTGTTTAAAAGATTACACTTATATTTCTTATAGAAATAATAAATGTAATGTATGTATATAAGTTAAAGATGATTTGTGTAGATACAAAAAAAAGGATGAATAATTTATGTAATTTAACTAGAACTCAGGAGATGTTAGTATAATTTATTATAAGATAATATAAATTATTTCAAATAGGTGAAAAGTATAAACTAAAAGTTGCTTGCCATCACATATATATAATTATTGGGGTTTTAAACGACAATGTAATTGGGTTAGTGTTAGTTTTGTGTCTTCCCACCTAGTAAGGGAATAGGAGGGGAAATGAAATATTGTATTATTTAATTAAAAATAAGTAAAAATATTAACCCTTAAAAAAATGTTTTTGCTTTTATACTAGACTCTCTAAGTAGATAAAACAGGCAAAGCTCACATACATCTTTGCAAAGCCCAAATTTTTTGAGTGTATGACATATAAAATTTGTCATTTCGCCCGTTTAGCCTTATTTATTTGCCTTTTATGTCCACATGCATTTCTATTAATGTCTTAATAAATTGTAATTTGATATGATTTATTCAGCTTCATATAAAATATTAAAAAAAATTATATTGCTTACAATGCTCGCGGGCTGCAAACATGCCCATTAGACCATTTTAAAACGTGCAATCCAATTTTTTATGTTAAGATAATACAAAACCAACACTACTTAAAATTTTGTAGGCACTCACACAACCTATTTTGTTATCTCTAAAAGAAAGGGTCTCAACCCAAGGATACATATTTTAATTCTGGAAAGCAATTGATTATGAGGTCAACAAACATTTAATTCTTGAAAGCAATTGGCTTGTTTGACATGGTTTCTTTTTAGAAGTTTAAGTTTATTTTTTAAAAAATAAGCTGAAAATATAAATTATGTATGTTTGACAATCAAATATTGCTTAAAATTTTGTAGGCACTCAGACAACCTATTTTGTTATCTCCAAAATTATGGGTTGATTTATTTTTTTTAGCTTATTTTTTCCAAATTTTTCTATTTCCCATTTTACCCATCTTAACTTTATCTCTCTCCTCATTTTTAATCTTCCATCAAACACCATAATTTTTCACACCATTACCACCAAACTCCATAATTCTCATTTCTCTCTTTTTATCATTACTCAACCCATAATTCTCCATAACGCTTTCCTTTATCTATACACGAACAAAGAATTATGTATAAAACTTTTGTTATATAATATTAAAATTTTGCGATTAAACCCTAAAACTTTTGTATAAAACTTAACATTTATGTATTATTTATTTTGTGAATTATGTAATTTAAGTTTACTAACTTCAATTTATTTATGTGCTATATTGTTTTAATATTGATATTGATTTTTATATTGTATTTTATTTTAATATTTTTTTAGCCTTTGTTATTATGCAATATTAAAAATCATGAGTTGATTTAGTTTTTTAGTTTATGTTTAACGATGTATGAGGTTATTTGTTTATGTTGTTCTTATGTTATTTTTTAATATTAATATTAGTTTTTATATTGTATTTTATTTTAATATATATTTTTATCATTTGTTATGCAATATTACAAAATTAAAGTAAAAATATATATGATGATAAATATTAAAAAATGTATATTTAAAAATTAGTGTAAAAAACAACCAAAATAATCATAACATAAACAAATAAACTCATACATTTTTATGTAATTTACTATGTAAAAACAAATTTTATACCATACCAAAACAAAACAGATTAGTTTATATTCAATTTTCAGCTAAAGTATCCTAACATAAACAGATTATAATCTTAACAGTTTATAATCTCACAGTTTATAAATTGAAAATAAAAACATAATCTATACCAAACGCACACTAAGAGGTCAAGGAATGGTCAACCAGTTTGCATTCAAGCAAGTGGCATGGGTGTAGGGATGACAATGAAAACCGAACTCGCAGGTACCTGCTCGAACTCAACCCAAATTTAACGGAAAAAACCTAATGTGATTGGGTTCAGGCTAGGGTTTTATCCGAGTTCAAATTTCGTGTTCGAGTTCGGGATCGATTAATATATATAACATTATAAAATTACACATAAATACATATATAAAAGCTATATATATATATATATATATATATATATGTAAATTTCATATATATATATATATATATATATATATATAAAGTTATATATATATATATAATCTATATATAAAAATATATGTTTAGTTCGAGTTTTTTTTCGGGTTC